GAGATAAACAGAAAAAAATTAGAGAAACTTTTTTTTCCCAAAGCATGAAAATGGTAGAAGTATTCAAATGAACAGTTTTATTCTGCATTTAGAAAAAGTGATGTTGTCACACCATGAAATTACTGATGGTTCATCAGCATCATCAAATTAACATCAGGGTGATGTTAAAAAGCAGTAACCAGAGTTTCTAAGTGGGCACCTCTGCATAACTTACAATAAAGAATCAAGAGGAGGTCTGCAACAACAGAAATGGCCAAACAGCTCCATAGATTATTCACATCATTTTTCAGTAACTCTCAGAAGACAAAGATGAAATGAACACAGTGGCATCAGGCAGCTGAACAGACTTCCCAGAGGATTACAGGTCTGACAACCTGACACCTATCCCAGGCAAAACTGGTGACCTTGAGCACACTCAGATTTTACAAAAGTCCAACAGTTCATTTTTTCTTTTTTTTTTTTCCTTTTTTTTTAATTAGCTTTGGCATCTTATTATGGCAAATAATACTCTGTAAAGAGCCTGAAGCAGCCTGAAACACTGTCTCATGGAGGTTTTACTAATCCCATCCCATCTCACTCCAGTGCTCAGAGGGGAAAGGTTGTTGCCAACACCAACTTTTCCACCACTGATCAAAGAACCACGGAGCAACGTCCCAGGAAGGAAGTTTACCTGGGCTGGGAGTTGAGATTTTTAGCAAGGAGAGAAGAGCAGATAAAAAAAAAATAAATAAAGAGAAAATTCGTATTTCCTCTCTCGTACCTTGACACAAGAATGTGCTGGGAGTTAAATGAGAAACCCAGTTCTCTTCTCCCTCTGAGTTTTGTGCTTCTGCCATAGACTTCTTCACAGCAGAGCACCCAGTGCAAAAAGCTTCAAAAGTACGGACAATTTTGAAGGCTACAGAGTAAAAATGTTCGAGAGTCACTGACACAGAGTAGCATCAGCTGTCTGTAATACAGAATGGGGCATAAAAGCCTTGGTACCACATTTGCACATGTTGGTCGCTGTCTGTTTAAATATTTCATGAACCATGCAATTAAGGCCCCTCATCAGTGTTGACTCCGTGATTTTAGAAATCCCGGGTACTTATCATCATCTATGTTCCAGGCTTATTTTCGCATTTCCACAGGGTTGCACAGAGACAATGAATGAAAACAATTTCCTTTGTATTTATAACCAGATTCACTTTGGGGATCTGAGAACTGCCATATTTGGTGCGCAGAAACTGATGTCTGGCATGTTTGGAAACAAAAGCCTGTGTTATTTAGACCTAACAAGATGACACAGAATAGATTTATAATTATTGTAATTAGAATAAAACCATGATTGCACTGAACTTAAATCCTGGTCCAAATTTCATATACACCCACAAATCCATCCAAATAGAAATTAACTTCATAATTAATACTGGATCATTCCCATTACAAAAAGACACTATTAATTATTGATGATGCTTGTGTTTCTTTCCAGCTGTTTCCATCTTTTCCCCCTCCAGTTCATGGAGTGCTGTGGATAATGCAGTGTGTACAAATCAAATCCCCCCGAGATGGGTGACTACTCCCCTCTCGTCCTGCCCACATGCAGGAAAACCTGCTCCTAGATGTTCTTATCAAGTGAAATACAGAGGGGCATTTGTTTGCAGGAGCAGAGCTAGAATATTCTCTTTAGAGTTCAGCTTCCTCCTTTCATCCCACCCACCACCAGACACTTCCTGACATTTCTCCTGCAGGCAGAGCAAGGCAACTGCTTCTTTTTTTTTTTGGCCTTTTTTTTTTTTTCCCTTTTGCAACGGCTGCTCCTTCAGCAATGTGTGGGTGGTGGGGGAAGGGGATGTTATCTCAACAGCAAACACAGCCCAGCAAGTCTGGGACGTGAGGGGGAGTTTCAGGATGAAAATAGGCCTCTGCCAGCCCTCCTGCGTTTGTGTCTCTATGACTAAGCACGCTCAACGTGTCGCTTTTTCAAACTTGGCTCCTCTCTTCCCTTGATCTTTGTTGTTTCCAAGCCTCCTGCTCCCCTTTGTCCTCACAGCCCCGGGGGACCTCGCAGAGGCAGCCCCTGACATCCCCAGTGCCAGGGAAATGCAAATCCCTGGCCGGGGAGCCAGCCCCCTGTGTTGGGGGGACAAAGCCAGAGCAGCTCCAGAGCCTGGAGACAAACCCACCTCGCTGCTGGCCCTGGGGCTGCCTGTCCCCACAGTCTGCCCAGGACCCGAGAGGAGACTCCACTAGCAATTGCTTTTCCACTGAAGTATTTACTGGTTTTGCTTACATCATTACAGCTCTGCCCTGGAAGCCTCTGCAGTACAGGGCCATCTAAACCCAAAAGGTTTCAGTGGTTCTGCCCCATCTCTGGGACAGAAAAGGCTGGTGGTGGCTCTTCTCCTCCAGCGGGGCCGTCCAAACCCAAGAGGTTTCAGTGGTTCTGCCCATCTCTGGGACAGAAAAGGCTGGTGGTGGCTCTTCTCCTCCAGAGCTGTCCCTGCTGCTCTGCTGGGGAGGTGCCTCAAGGTTCATGGGACCGTGAGGAAGAGTAGGAGATAAAGCTGCCAGGCTCCTGTTTGTCTCCCCTACCTCAGACTCAACCTCCTTCCCCAACAGAGCATCCTCTGAGCTTGAATCACAGCCTTCTCCATCCTACCAGCCCAGATGTGCTTTGTACAAGAGTGACTCACCAGTACAGCTGCACTGGTGTAATCTATGCTGGTTCGACCTTTCCTAATGCAGTGTCTTGGAAGCCAGAGGAGATAACACTTTGCTAACTCCAAAATCCCATATTTTTATACCGTACATCCTACATTGCCCTTCGGAGGCTCTCCTTGGTCCCAGATGTGGGTACAACATATGCCACAGCCATGTTTCCCACCCCACCTTACAACGCCTGTCCTATCTGGATGCTCACTGAGCTCACCAGAAACAAAATTATTCGTTGTTATTAATTTGTGTTTGGCACAAACATGCAGCAGAACTGCAAGCACCTGCAACTGCAATTCCCCGAAGAGAACCTGCACAGGAAGAGAAGGAGGAGTGCCCAGATCTCCATCGGGAGGGCTGGCAGGTTTTCTGGGTGATCTATATTCAGCTGCGCACGCCCAGGGGTATGTGGAAAGATCATTCATCCAGTTCATTGAACTGCAGCCTGCATGTGAAAGGAGTTTCATGGGGTCTTTTTTAAATGTCACTGTTTTAAAGACGAATAGTCTCATGCAGAAATTCGCAGCAGATTATAATACGGGCACTCCAGGGGTAGATTAAAAAGCAATTCAAGAACAATACTGTGGAACAATCTTATCTTTTCCCTACCTTATCCAGGCATTTATCTAGGTCTGTTCTGCACTAGTCATCACTACATTATCTACATACTATACAGTGTCTTTTTTAGCCACATTAGTACATATGCAGCTCATTTACAGTCAAAAGTAAGTCAGGTCTGAACAAGCTGCTCTAGTTCAAATGCCCTATTCAGAGAAGAGGCTGGGAGATGGCTACAGAACACACCAGGGTTGATCTAGTTTTAAATGGTCCATGCTTGCTGTCACCTTCTCATCTGTCCATAGCAGCAGCTCAAGCAAACCTTCCACCAGGCGGAGATTTCAACAGCATATGGTTGTACTATGATCTATTTTAACGACAGGATCTATTTCCAACAAAATATTTTGTTTAGTGGTCTGAAAGCATTTTCAGTTGCATGTTGAAAGTTCAAATATTTCCATCAACTCCCTGATTTACTTATGAGAACCATGCAATGAAATAAAGATGTTTGTTCCCATGCGCGTGCTTCAACAAGTTATACAAAATTTTCATTTTACAAAACACTATGGAAATTTACAATGTAGCCCCAAGAGGTTATAACAGCTTTGTCAAGTCTTGTGATGTTACTGGAAGCCTTGTGGTATTTGAGGTTATTCTGAATGCCCGAGCATTTGGAGTTGTGATTACATGAAAATATAGGTCTAATTAAAGCAAACAAACAACTTCCCCCACACACATACACTTTCTAAATTTAAGCCTAAAAACGTGAAGGCAGCGCACTATAACGCCTCAGAAACCAGAGGTCAAAAAGAAAAAGCAGGTTTGTTATCCTTAGATCTTAATTCATAAACCAACCTCATCTTTTAAGGTCTTCCCTCTGACTTCTGAATAGTTGGATTTCGCAACATTGTTACTAATTGTTTAGGTAATTTATAAATATTTATATACTAAGTGGGTTATTGCCTCTTTTTTTTTTAATCTCTCTGTGTTTTCTCCCTTCCTAGGAAATCCCATTCAGAGATACGTGCATTTGCAGTGATGGGATGATCCAGACACGTCCAGCACATCTGTGCTGTTCCACACGAGCTTTGGGGAAATCTGTGCCTGCACAGTGGCCTTTTATGCACCACATCCACATGGCCCACCATCTGCTCAGGGCACTGCTGGCCGTGTCCGAGGGAACCTTGACATGTGGCAGCCCTATATTTAGACTATATTAGAGTCTCTGGCTATTCAAAAGACAATACCAATATAAATATCAAGTCATGTAACACCTTTTATTGTTACTATATTTTGTATCCATTTAAAATATTAAAATATTTGTTCTTTTCATCTGTAGCTATCTAAGGATAAAAGTACTTTTTGAATAATTATTAAATTTCACGTCAGTTTACATATAACATCTTTTGTCGTAAAAAAATACCAAATTCTTTAAGAAATTTCACAAAATAACTCAACAACTAGGATTATTTGATGCTTGAGGATGAGGATTAATGCGTAAGTGAAAAGCATTATTCATAACTTATTAAATTATTACATTAATTACTGCATTGTCATTGGAATGCAGTCATTTCTAAAGAAAGACTTGACAGGATTTCCAAAATAAATCCCAGTATTGTGTATCTGGCACTTTGGGCCAGAGGAAGGACACCCTTTATAGAAGGATCACTTCATTCTCCACTGAAATGCAGCTGCTGCTTAATACCACCCTTTAATTGTGCAAATCAGATAAAGCTAGGAAGCATAGATTTCTCTTTAAGACAAAGTTTTAATTAGCAGTTTGATTATTTGAGTAGTAAGGAGAAAGGAACACATTGTTCTTATCGACTGCTTGTGGGTGCTGGTAATGTTTGACATTGTGCACAACAAAAAGGCAACAATCTGTATCTTACGCATAGTTTCAAATTTTTTCTTAATAGGCCTATGCCTTGCTCATGTTTTGAGTGTCTTAATTATTGGAAAGCATGAAAATGACAGGCAACATTACAAAGCTTTAAATATTTAGGCTTTAACCTTGAAAGGTTACACTGATTTTTGCAACCAAAACGTGACCTCTCAGGTATTTCAGGTTAAAGAGATATGCAAATCTTCATGGGACTAAGTCCTCAGAGTCTGTAGAAAGAACCCTTATATGAACTTTTGATCAACACCAGATGAGGAAAAATGTGGTCAAATATAAACCATCCCTTCCAACATGAAAAACATGGCTGTTTTACAGTTGTACCAACAAATGTTAAATTAACTAAAAAATTACATAATGGTTCATTCATGACTGATACAGCAGAGGCACAACAAACAGAAACCAGATTGGGCTATATTCTCAGGCTGATTCCAATGAAGAGAACAGACCCAACGTCCTTCAAATATACTCCACGTTGCCTTCAAAACCCCCGCGCAGTAGACTCAGCACAGGAAGGAAGCGCTTCTAGACACCACGGCAGTACGTAATTAAAAGTGAACGGACTTGGGCTGAAAGGTACGTTAAAACCTCTCATTGCTTTGGCTTTGGACCGCAATTACTCTGTTAAATTATGGTTTGTACTGTGTTGAGCATCCTGTCGAATCAACAAATACATACCCTCTCCAACGGGAAGGCGGTGAGTCCAACCTGGCAACTTCTGGAGTGTTCCTGAAGGGAAGTCGCCACAATCCTGGTCTGTCCCACACCACTCACTGGATCCATTCCACGGGGCAGCCCCGCTGTCGGTGCTGGGTCACGGCAGGGTGTCCCGAGGTGGGCGATCATGGAGGTGACACACCACCTGGTGCGTGCTGGGTGCTCTGGCCTGGTGGCGCTAAGGCAGGAGCACCATGTCATGGCCTGACACACCAGAGAGCCTGGGCCTGGCGGTGTGTGAGGCGCGGTGAGGCCCACAGTGCCACAGCAGGTCACCACCGCCCCTCACCGCCACAGCCCGGCCCGGCGGCCATGCCATGAGCTCCTGGGCCCTGTGGCCGCCATGGGGACAGTCGAGGCCCACCAAGGGCCTGACGCCAACTGCGAAGAGCCTCGCACCTCCCGCTCCGAGCCCACCCGGGGGTGGCCGTGCTGGGTCCCCCCGGTCCCCCTTGGCCCCCCGCGCCCTGGGGCAGCCACCTCAGGTTGGCCTTGAGGAGGCGCCACTGCGCCTGCGCGGGAGGGAGGGGGCGTGGGAGGCGGGGCCGCGCGGGCATTGCGCAGGCGCGTGGCGCATGCGCGCTGGGGCCCCGCGCTGGGCTTGTCGTTGCAGCTTTAAGAGGGCTCGCGGCCTGGCGGGGCT